ATCCGAGCTTGCTGATGATAAACAAAATCGAAGTTAATTAAAGTTCTACAAGCGCAAACCATCCTGTGGGGCTTATTTCCAGCTCTGTGCACATGGCCTCTAGCTCTCGTGTCCAGAATATCGAAGCGTTTCAAAAAGTCGAACGCTCGCTACTATACTCCTCACGCTCGTATTAGAAACGTTCTACGTTACGCTCAATTAAGTCTCGTGATGGGAAGTGATCCACGCGTTGTGTTGTGTTTTACGCGTTTAACACTTCGCGTAACGCGGTAAACACGTTATGACGCGTTATCGCGTTAGAGGTTTTCGTGATATTGCGTTTCCCGCGTGCGTTTTGACGCTAAGTATTATCTCAACAGAACATACCGCGATTTTCGCGTAAAACACTTCGCGTAAAACAGGTGAAACTCCAATGTTAATATGACTCCTTATGCTGATGGCTCACCGCGTTGCCCTTTCCTTGTCTATCGAGGACGTAGTAGGATGATTGGCTATATTTGGTGGCCTTGAACCCACCAGTTGATGGACTGAAGAGCTTGCACAGTTATATCGAGACCGACAAGGAGAAGGCCGTACAGTTTTATTGAAAGAGCTTGCTGATGTATGGTGGATACGTAGGCGTAATGTTCGAGAGAGGTTGATGTGTCGTGTTGAGAGACATGCTGGTCAAGATCTTATTGAGGGTGAAAAAGTCTGTCGTTGGCGTCCTATGTTAGGCAGATTTGGAAAGCTCAATACTGGTTGGTCTCCAGCTGTGTTGGTTAAGAAGATGAGTGATAGTGTTTATAAGGTGCGTTTGCCTGATGGTAAGGAAGTGAACGAGAGTGTGCTTAACCTTCGTCCGGCGGAAGTGTGCCGGTAACGGCTCCTTTATAGAAATAACTGATGGGAAGCTGTTGTGATTTTGTCTGTGTCTCTAGTCTCCATAATTGTGTTCAAGCGTCAAGCTAGTGGACTCAGATTCCCATCAGTTATTTAAGTTGTGGTTGTTATTGTTGTGGTTATTCCCGACATCATTGAAGTTGCGTGAAGCTCTATTGTAGTATCCACCTTGTCATCAAGTTTATCACCTAGATCCTTTCTATTTATCACCTAGATCCTTTGTATACTTCGACGGTCAAGAGTCTTGAGTTTTATCAATCCCGTCTTTGAACGGCAGTCTGCTGGAGACGAAATGCGTAGAGCAACGATAAAACACCGCTGAGAAAACCACTCGCTGGTGTGTATGATGACATTGTATACGACGATTGATGTACTGCTCGCATTTTATATATTTGAGCCATCATCGCTCGCCAAGATATCCGCATGAGTATCCGAAACCGTCGACCCTAATGTAGTATTAATTAGACTCCTTCAATCCGGTCCTCTCTGAGGTTGCGTTGTCAACAACGGATCTAACATGGTGACAGCTGACGACATCCAGAACGCGCCCGATCGTGAGAGTATCGCCAAGCTCAGAGCAACGGTCCGCGGCTTGAGAACCCGGAAGATGAAGGAACTGATCGCAATCAGAAACCAGACACGTCTTAGCTTGGATGACGATGAAACCACCAACGACGCCGAACTTGTCGATCTCTATTCCAAGGAAGAAGAACTCGAGATAGCTATCGAGTCACTAGCTAGGTTAGCTGACCAAGCTACGTGTAGGATCTCCGAGCTCATGAAAGAGTCTGTCGTACCCACTACATCTACAACTACTTCCTCCTCGGACGATGGTCTCTCAACTCTGGTTACGGCCCTTACTTCGGCATTGCAGAAGCCGCCAAGCTTACGTACCAGAATCGCCGATGTGAGCCGTCTTTCAGTTGCCAGCAAAGCATTGAAGAACCCCTTCCTGTTGCCTACTCATTTCAAACGAGTGGAGCAACTGTTGGTCGCATCTGGGTTTGCTACCTTTGTCAACGGTACGTTCACTCCAGACGACGACATCGAGGTTTACCTTGTCGAGAAGCTCATATTTACCCTGGTTGACCATGACGGTGTGACAGCCGAAGCGAATGCGGCAGTGGACGAAGCCGGTGGAGACTGGCATAGGGTGA